TTCAGTAGATAGAGATTCCGGAGTGAAAGTGGGAGCGGATCACCATGGACTTTGTAGTTGGCCTCCCACGGACTTTGAGAAAGTTCGATGCTGTTTGGGTGATTGTGGATCGGCTGACCAAATCCGTTCACTTCATTCCTGCGTGTACTACCTATTCTTCGGAGCGGTTGACGGAGATTTATATCGGAGAGATTGTTCGTCTGCATGATATTCCAGTTTCCATCATTTCAGATAGAGGTACTCAGTTCACTTCACGATTCTGGAGGGTCGTTCAGCATGAGTTGGGTACTCGGGTGGAGTTGAGTACAACATTTCACCCTCAAACGGACGAACAGTCCGAGTGCACTATTCAGATTCTTGAGGATATGCTCTGTGCATGTGTGATTGAGTTAAGAGGGTCTTGGGATCAGTTCTTGCCATTGGCGGAGTTTGCCTACAACAACAGTATCAGTCCAGCATTCAGATGGCACCGTACGAGGCTTTATATGGTAGGCAGTGTAGATCCCCAATAGGTTGGTTTGAGCCGGGTGAGGCTATATTATTGGGCACAGACTTGGTTCATGATGATTTGGAGAAGGTTAAGGTGATTCAGGATAGACTTTGTACAGCCCAGTCCAAACAGAAGAGTTACGCAGACCGGAAGGTTCGTGATGTTTCCTATATGGTTGGAGAGCAGGTTCTGCTTCGGGTTTCGCTTAAGAAGGGCGTTATGAGATTTGGGAAGAAGGGGAAGTTGAGTCCAAGGTTTATTGGCCCTTTTGAGGTATTGAGACGTGTTGGGAAGGTTGCTTATGAGCTTGCCTTACCTCCCAGCTTGGTAGGAGTTCATTCGATATTTCATGTTTCGATGCTCCGGAGGTATCACGGTGATCCGTCGCACGTGTTGAATTTTAGTTTAGTCCAGTTGGACAAGGATATATCCTATGTTTAGGAGCCAGTGGCAATATTGGACAGGCATGTTAGAAAGCTGAGGTCAAAGTACATTGCATCTATGAAGGTTCAGTGGCTGGGTCAGCAAGTCGACGAGGCGATATGGGAGACCGAGCAGGATATGCGCAGCCGTTACCCTCATTTTTTCACTACTTCAGGTATGTCTCTACGCTCGTTCGAGGACGAACGAATGTTTAAGTGTAGGAGGATGTGACGATCCGGCCGGTTGTCTTATGAATTAATGCCCCGATCCCCTATTAACTGCTTTTATCATGTTTGTTTCTACCTGCCGGGAGGGTTTATTTGGAGTTTCGGAGAGTTTTAGGTTATTTAGTCCTTAAATGAGAGCTTACAACAACAACAACAACAACGACCCAGTATAATCCCACAAGTGGGGTCTGGGGAGGGTAATATGTACGCAGACCTTACCTCTACCCCGAAGGGTAGAGAGGCTGTTTCCAGGAAACCCTCGGCTCAAAAAGGCAACATGAGCCGATATATTAGTACCATAAAAATGCATAATAAAATAACAGCAATATAAGAGATATGAAATACAGAATACGAAACAGTGTGAGAGCTTAAGTTTAGAAAATTTGATTGTAGTCGGAACAGTGTGAATACGGCCTCGGAATGGAATTCTGATGATTTCGTTAGCTCCGTTGGGTGATTTCGGGTTTAGAGCGTGTTCGGATTGTGTTTTGGAGGTCCGTAGCTAATTTAGGCTTGAAATACCGAAATTGAATTTTTGAAGTTTCCGGTTCGATAGTGAGATTTTGAAGTTTCAGGTCATTCGGACGAGGTTTGATAGAGTTTTTGATCGAAAGCATAATTTGAGAGTTTTTGGAATTCTTAGGCTTGAATCCGATAAAAAAATTGGAGTTTTGATCTTGTTTTGAGCGTTCCGAAGGTTGGAACAAGTTTGAATGATGTTTAGGATTGGTTGGCATGTTTGGTTGAGATCCCGGGGGCCTCGGGTGTGTTCTGGATGGGCCGCGGGTCATTTTTTCCTATGTTTGAACTGTTGTTCTGCTATCTGGTGTTTCCTTCTATGCGATCGCATAGGCATAGACGCAATCGCGTAGTATAGTGTCAACATGCCATATTTTCTTTCTATGCAAGTGCATTTATTTGTTCGCAATCGCGTAGCACAAAATTTGGACAGTAGTATTTTGCTTTTATGCGATTGCATTGATTTGTTCACAATCGCGTAGCACAAAATTTGGACAGTAGCATTTTTCTTCTATGCGATTGCATTGATTTGTTCACAATCGCGTAGCACAAAATTTGGACAGTAGCATTTTTCTTCTATGCGATTGCATTGGTTTGTTTGCGATCACGTAGCACACTTTGGGCCAACAACTATTTCTTCTATGCGATAGCATCTCTTCTCCCGCGATTGCGATGTACAAATACCTGAGCAGTATTTAAATAGCTCATCCGCAACCCTTCTTCATTTTCCACCATTTTTGAACGGGATTGAAGCCTTTGAGGGAGATTTTTGAGGAAATCAAAGGGGAATCACTTGGAGATAATATTTTTGACTTCATAACCCATTTATATGTGATTAAAGGTCTAATTAATGGTGAAAAAATTAGAGAAAATCAGTGCTAAATGGGTAATTAGGGCTTGAGATTAAGAGACCTTAAAATGAGTACTTGAGGGGCCAATTGAACTCTGATTTCAGTGTTCTTGATATGTATAGACTCGTGAGAGTGTAAGAATTCTGAAAATATAAATTTCACCCAATTCCGAGATATGGGCCCGAGGGGCATTTTGGTCATTTTACCTAATTTCGCGTATTAGCTTAGAATTTAATTGTAGAATCAGTTACTTGAAGTGTTATTTACATTATGCAATTGAATTAAATAGATTTGGGCCATTTGGAGTCGAGTACTTGTGGCAAAGACGTGGTTTCAGGTTGATTTTGAGCTGGTTCGAGGTAAGTGGCTTGCCTAACCTTGTGTGGAGGACATTCCCCTTAGGATTTGGTATTGTGGTAGTTGAAATTCCTTGTACGTGAGGTGATGAGTGCGTACTTGTGCTAATTATTGAAAATCCGATTTTCACTAAAGTAGCTTTAATTATGTTTTTTCCCCTGCTTATTCTACTTGAAATTTAAGCCCGTTGTTAGCTTAGGGAAGCATGTTTAATTGACTTAATTGTCTTATTGCTTAAACTACCTTATTTGTATTATGTGAAGCATGTTAGATTAGAATTACCTGTTTTACTTTGGTATGAAATTGAGTTTAATTGAGTATTCTTTTTGTGGTTGCTATGTGTTTTACTTTGGGACTACGGGACGGCATCCCGGGAGATCCCCCATACGTATTTATGATGTGAGCTAAGGTGCGGGATACCGAGAGATCCCCAGCACGTATATTGAGGATACCAAGAGATCCTCGGGATATCAAGAGATCCCTAGCATATATTGAGGATATCAAGAGATCCTCGGGATACCAAGAGATCCCTGGCATATATTAAGGGTACTAAGAGATCCTCGGGATACTGAGAGATCCCCGATTAGTATCTTGTGATTGTTTTGCCTCTGTTTCAGTTGTTGTTGTCCTTGTTATCCTGTATTTAATTCTTATTATTATCTTTCAATTGTACTGCATTATCTTATGCTGTTATACCTTATATTTTATTTAATCTCAGTAGGGCCCTGACCTTCCTCGTCACTACCTGATCGAGGTTAGGCTTGACCCTTACTGAGTACTACTGTGGTGTACTCATGCCCTTTCTGTAAATGTTTTTCATGTGCAGATCCAGGTACCTCCACTCAGACTTGTCACGCTTGAGACGAGGCGCTTGTAGAGACTCCGAGGTATATCTGCCGCGTCCGCAGACCGAAGAGTCCCTTTCTACTTTCCTTTTTAAGTATTAGCCCTTCTGTATTTTCTTTCCTTTGTTAGATATTCTGGAGTTAGATACTTGTAGACATTCAAAGGCTTGTGATCATGAGATTCCGGATTTTGGGAAATGTATTTAGTTTTGAGAGTTGATATTCTGTAAGTCGAGCAGCACTTTTAAACGATGATTTATTTTACTATTTTGGTTTTTAATTGTTTCTTCTGTAAATTGGTTTATTTTTTGCATTGTTAGGCTTACCTAGTTGTAGAGACTAGGTGCCGTCACGATGGTTCACGGAGGGCGAACTGGGGTTGTGACAGGTAATTACCATTAACTATTTTCTCTTTATGTATTTTGGTATAAAGAATTCCTATCTAAAAGTGTGCTATGCAGGATTATTGGCAAATGTAAACGGACCGTGAAATAAAAGGTCAAGATTGAGGGATAAATATGTGAAGTGTATCTAGTTAGAGAAACCTCTCATTTTTGTTCGTATTATTTTGAGAATCATGTTCCATGTTTGAGAAATAGGCCAAATCGGCATGATGAAGGCGATAATGATCCTTTGGAACCTCCTATATCCATATTCAATCAATTGGGTAGAGGTCCGAGAAAAACTCAAAAAAGAAGTTGGACTGATAATGAAAGAAAATCGGCTACAACACATGTACTACTGAATTTCCCCAAAGTTCAACAATTTTACAAGTAAGTTTGGAATTATCCTATTGACCTATGTGCATCATCTATTCTTCTTTTAACTAATAAATATTTTAAAATGTCTGACAGTTACTTTGTGAGTCAGTTCGGCTATGCTAATATTTATCCTAGATTTTCTGAGTGGTTTAGAGACTACATAAGTGTTAATTAATATGTAACAAAATTTTCATTATTTACACACTATATGATTTTCTAACTTCTCGATTTTTTTTAACTCTATATAGGTTCATAATCCAAAAAATGGTATATGTGATCCTTTTTTGCTTGATATAGCTTGGGGACCTACCCCACATGTCAAAACCATGTCTACGTATTTTGCCAATGGATATAAGTTTCATACGGAAGAATGGTCTAAGAATAAGAAAACCATTAATAGCGGGGTATGGGTGAAAGGTGATGATGGTGACCAAGGTGGGGATATTAATTATTATAGTGTGCTCCAGGAGATTTTAGAAATAAAGTATGTTGGTTGGACAAAGAAAAGGTTGGTACTTTTTCGATGTAAGTGGTTTGATCCCGCACCAAATAGAGGTACAAAGGTACACCCACAATACAAAATAGTAGAAGTTAAGCACACAAAGGAGTACCAAAGCTATGATCCATTTGTTATAGCACAAAATGTGAAGCAAGTGTATTACGCTCCTTATCTGTCGACGTGTAAAAATAAGATTGAATGGTGGGTAGTTATTAAAACTAAGTCAGTTGGAAGAGTGGAAGCTGATGATTCACTAGTTGTAGCGTACCAAAATGATATATCAAGAAGTTGATATATCATTCAACAAATTGTGGATAATGAATTAGAATATGAGGTGCATAGTGAAGGCATATACGAAGAAGTTGATCTGTCAGTTGAACAAAATTATGGAATGGGGACATCTATGGCCAATGCGGAGGAACATTCAGGTGATGAAAATGAATTCATTGAGGAGGAAGAATTTTCTGATGAAAATGAAACAAGCGAGGAGGATGAAACTGATGATGAAAATGTAGCAAGCGATGACGATGGAATGGATGATGGAAATGAAACAAGCGATGACGATAATTGACATGTTTGTTTTTTCTAGCTTAAATAGTGATTATGCTTTTAAATTTATTGCTAAGAGAATTAACATGCTATTTTTTTCTTATGCTTGTATTATTCAGATGGATGCTGGAGGTAAATCAAAGAAGAAGAAACAAGTTTCACGTAACTTAGGTCATCTCTCTACCTCTCCACCATCGGCACATTTTGGTCCGCATGTGCCTCTACCTACATGCCCGTCTTCAGTTCCACCTCCCTTATACTTTATACCACACCTAGGGTATACTGCTCCGTCCTCTGCCCCTTACTATCATCATATGTCTTCCCAAGACATAAATGGGACGTTTTCATATAGACCTGCTTGCCCATCTATACCTACACCTAGACCTGCCATATTCCCATCATCTACTCCAGTCATTCCATCCCATGGAATTCAATCGTCATCGTCTCTCGTTATTCCTTCATCATCTTCCCCTGGCATACCCTCTTATTCTACCCCTAGCATGTCCACATCTTCTAGTCGGCCTCCAAACCATCCTTTCATGCATTCATTTGAATCTATACATGCTCAGGATCCTCCAAATATTGGAGTAGATAGCCTTCTGACGTCCACATGCATTGATTGTGATTCAGTTACACGGCTTCCTATACATGCTTAGGATCCTCCAAATGTTAGAAGGTTAGATAATCTCGGGAGGTTGATTATCATTGCCGATAAAGCTGGGTAAGTATTATTTGTTTATTTTCTAATTAATTATAAATCTGGTTTCTAACATGTTTAATTTAATGCAGGTTTCATCCTTGTACTCAAGCTACAAAAGTTGTGGTTAAATCAATGTGTTCATTTTATCATGGACCTTGGAGGTTCTGGTCAGATGTTCCATGGAACATTAGGGACAGGATGTTTGATGAATTTAGGGTAAAATAAATTATTTCATTTTTCAATTCATATTTAACCAATCTAACAAATTAATTATTTGCAGATGAAGTGTGCTTGGCCAATTGAACGTGAGGTAGAGGTACGAGGCGTCTTTTTTAAGAAATGTGCTGATAGGTTGACTGATATGCTTTGAGAAACTCGAAATAAGAAAGAGATGCCAGGTTGGATTACTGAGGATATATGGACTAAACAAACTCAGTATTGGGCCTCTGAGGAATTTAAAAAGAAATGTGAATTGGCAAAGGCAGCCCGTTTGTCTGACAAAGGTGGCTCCATGCACACGGGAGGTTCAATAAGTATTGGGGCTCATCGAAGAAGATTGATATGTGTTTATTATACTAGTCTAGTCCAGTGTTTATACAATTATGTTACTTATAAGGTAATTACTATAAGTTCTTTTGTGCTTCTGCTTTTCCTGAATCTTTCCAATGTAGACATATGAGCCATCCCAGCCCCAGATTCCTCTGTTCCAAAAGTGGATTAGATATTCTACAAGAAAATGGCTCTTTAACACAGTTTTCTTGTGGATGAATTGTTCTTATATATATCTAATATCTGTACAAGTCTTCATGAGGTAATGGTTTAAAAAAAAGAATTTATGTTCATACCTTAATGTGGAATTTATGTTTCTTGAAGCAACAAGGCTGCTACTTGAGAATAGAACAAGAATTTCTCCATGAATGTCATTGCTTTGAAAATAGAACTAGGTTCCAAGAAGTAGTAGTGACAATTTGGGACATACACTGTAAATGTTTCAAAGTTCTCCTTTTATTTCTTCTTACGGACTTTAATTAGTTATATTTGTATGTTATCTCATTCTTCACAGAAGATTGTTTCTGATGATAAATGTTACTAATATAATAATTGGTCGAAAATGGTTTCCATTTTCAAACTGTGATGACCCGGCCAGTCGTCTTAAGAATTAATGCCCCGATCCCCTATTAACTATTTTTTCTGTATTTATTTCTGCTATTTTGATTTGCCGAGATGTTCGATTTTGAGTTTCGGAGAGTTTTGGGACACTTAGTCCCTAAATGAGAGCTTAAGTGTTGGAAATTTGATCGTAGTCGGAACCGTATGAAGACGGCTTTTGAAATAGAAATCTGATGGTTTCGTTAGCTCTGTTGGGTGATTTCGGGCTTAGGGGCGGGTTCGGATTGTATTTTAGAGGTTAGTAGCTAATTTAAGCTTGAAATGCCGAAAGTCGAATTTTGAAGTTTTCAGTTCAATAGTGAGATTTTGGATCCGAGGGTCGGAATGGAATTCCGGAGTTGGAGTATCTACGTAGTTTTGAATGTAACGTGTGTGCAAAATTCAAGTCATTCGGACGAGGTTTGATAGACTTTTTAATCGAAAGCGTATTTTTAGAGTTTTGGAGTTCTTAGGCTTGAATTCGCGGTTGATTCGTCGTTTCGATGTCGTTTTAGGTGTTTTTGGGATTGGTATAAGTTTGGACAGTGTTATTAGACTTGTTTATGCTTTTGGTTGAGGTCCCGGGGGCCTCGGGATGATTTCGGATGGTAGACGGAAGGATTTGGAGTTGCAACTGAAGTTATAACTGCTGTCATAATCGCATCTGCGATTGAGAGTCCGCATGTGCGACTCCCCCAGATGTGGAATCTAGCCGCAGAAGCAGCAGATGAGGAAGGGTCCAGATACCACAGAAGAGGCATAAGTACCGCACCTGCACGACCGCAGATGCAAATTCTGGGTCGCAAGTACGATGGAGAGGTTTTAAGTGAGAACCGCAGAAGTGGTTACCCAACTGCAGAAGCGGTATTGTGGATGCGATTGTTAGACCGCAAATGCGGGATTGCTGGGCAGAACATATAAATAGTTGCCTTTTCGAATTTAAGCTATTCTTTCACCATTTTCATCCGGGAAGTGAGCTTTTGGGGAGGTTTTTGAGAGGGAATTCAAGGGAACTTCGAGGAGGTAAGATTCTTGGAACCTAAACTCGTTATTGGAGTGATTTTTATCATTATAAGCATGAAAAATTAAGGAAAATCAGTGGTAATTTGGGGATTAGGGGTTGACTAATTAGAGACTTTTGAGTGATGATTTGAGAGACCATTTGAGGTCCGATTTTAGTTCTTTTGGTATTACTGAACCCGTGAGAGTGTGAGGATTCTAAAAATGTAAATTTTACCCAATTCCAAGACGTGGGCCCGAGGGGCATTTTGGTCATTTTACCTAATTTTGCACATTAGCTTAGAATTTCTTTGTAGAATCAGTTACTTGAAGTGTTATTTACATTAAAAAATTGAATTGAATAGATTTGGTCCATTTAGAGTCGAGTACTCGTGGCAAGAGCATAGTTTCAGATTGATTTGAGCTGGTTCGAGGTAAGTGGCTTCCCTAACATTGTGTGGGGGACCTTCCCCTTAGGATTTGGTATATTTGATAATTGAAATGCCTTGTACGTAAGGTGACAAGTGCGTACTTGAGCTAATTGTTGAAAATCCGATTTTCTTTAAGTAATTTCAATTGTGTTCCTTTTTCCTGTTTTTATACTACTTGCAAAGTCTGCTGTTAGCTTAGAAAAAGCATGTTTGATTGGCTTAATTGCTTACTTGCTTAACTGCCTTAATTGTATTATGTGAAGCATGTTAGGTCAAAATTACTTGTTTTACTTGGTACGAAATTGAGCTTAGATAAGTACGCTATCTATTGATTTGAAGCATGTTAGGTCAAAATTTTCCTGTTTTACTACGGGACGGCATCCCGGGAGATCCCCTATACGCGTTTATGATTTGAGCTGAGGTGCAGGATACCCAGAGATCCCTGGCACGTATATTGAGGATAGCAAGAGATCCCCTGCGTATATTGAGGATACCAAGAGATCCTCGGGATACTAAGAGATCCACTGCATATATTGAGGATACCAAGAGATCCCTAGCATACATTGAGGATACCAAGAGATCCTCGGGATACTAAGAGATCCACTGCATATATTGAGGATACCAAGAGATCCCTAGCATACATTGAGGATACCAAGAGATCCTCGGGATACCAAGAGATCCCTGACACCTATATTGAGGATATGAGAGATCCCCGGTTATCATCCTTGTGAAGAGTCGTATTTCCTTGTAATTGTCTTTATCTCTGTTCCAGTTATTGTATTCCCTATTATCCTGTATTAAATTCTTACTGTCACTTTTTAATTGTACTTCTTATCTTATTCTGTCATCTCTATATTTATTTAATCTCAGTAGGGCCCTGACTTTCCTCGTCACTACCCAACCGAGGTTAGGCTTGGCACTTACTGAGTACCGCTGTGGTGTACTCATGCCCCTTTCTGTACATATTTTTCATGTGCAGATCCAGGTACCTCTACTCAGACTTACCATCCTTGAGGCGAGGCGATCCTTCGGAGACTTCGAGTTATATCTGCCGCGTCCGCAGACCGAGGAGTCTCTCTCCATTCTCTCTTGTAGTTACAACCCTTCTGTATTTACTTTATTTCAGACATTCTGGAGTTAGAGCATTATGTAGTATCCTTAGCTTGTGATTTCATGAGATTCCAGATTTTGGGAAAAGTATTAGTTTTTGAGAGTTGATGTTGTGTATGCCGAGCGGCACTATTAAACACTGTTTTATTCACTATTTCGGTTTTTATTTATTTTCTTCCACAAATGGGTTTATTTTCCGCATTAATAGGCTTACCTAGTCGTAAGGACTAGGTGCCGTTACAATGGTTTACGGAGGGCGAACCGGGGTCGTGACACAAACATATCTGGATAGAGGTTGATGTTAGTCAGGACTGCTTTTCAATCAGCATATATGATTATAATGTCTGTTTACGCCAGTGATATTTGGAAGTGAACTGAAAAATAGTGCACTTAAAGGATAGTTTAATGTACTTATGTTAAATTCATGGTTGCTGAACCCATTCATGGCTGCTGAACCCATTCACTGCAGAGCTACAATTTATATTGACACAACGTTTGAGGAATAGCAGTTAAGATCTAGTTGGCAGCACTGCAACCAGTTAGTTAATGAAAAGCCTTTGGCTCTTTTAGTAATAGCAGTTAAGATTTATATGATTAGAAAATTGTGTTCCTTAAGATTTAATAGCAGTACCA